TATTTCCACAACAAAAAGGGTTTACTTGTTAGAAGCGCCTAAAGCTAATAGTTTTCGAGATATTTGTTTTTAAAGGTTCCAATGTAATATTTGTGCCATGATGACAAAACATTTTTAAGTTACTTTGGATGATATCTGAGTAGCGTTGCTATGGTTTTTAACAATAACAAATGAGGATGGCAACAAAACTAATAAACGGAAATAATGACTACAAAAATTTTTCAAGATGACCACCACCTTGCCTAACACACTCTCGAGCTCGACGAACTAATCCTTGCTGTACTCTCCAAAGCATTTGGGTGTTATTTTTCATTTCCTGGCTAAGGTGGGAAATTCTTTGTCGAAGATCATCTACAGTTTCCACTGGCGTACTGTAAACGCGTCGTTTTAAATCACCCCAGAAGAAGAAATCCATATTATTAAAATCTGGTGATCTAGCCGGCCACGATGCAGATCCTGATTGGCCTATCCACTGGCCTGGATAAGCTCTATTTAGGTGTTCTCTAACTAATATAGTAAAATGAGGTGGAGCACCGTCGTGCATAAGCCACATATTTATATTCATGCGTGTTTGTAATGGAAGATCTTCCAGCAGAGTGGGTAATTGTTTTTCAAGAAAATGTAGATACCTTTGGCCATTCAGTCTAGGTGGTAACTCAATGGGTCCTATTAAAAATTGTTCTATTATTCCTGCCCATAAATTAATTTGAAATTGTACTTGGTGGCGGGTTTGCATTATTGCATGAGGATTTTCGTCTGCATAAATGTGAAGTTTATGCGAGTTAATGGGCGCATCCCTTTCAAATCCTGCTTCGCCCGAAAAGAATATTAACGAAGTAAAACCGTTATCGTGATGAAACTTCCTTAAGAGTCATGTACAAAATTCTACCCTTGCGGGTTCATCATCCGCGCTTAAACCATGTACTTTTTGCAGGTGGTATGGATGGAGCAGTTGCTCTTGAAAAATGGTATTTACTGTACATTTGGAAACTTGAAATTCTCGAGCTAGATTCCTAACCCCAACTGTGGGATTACCAAATACAGCATCGAAAACATTTTCTTCGACTTCAGCTGTACGTACAGTTCTGGGAGCTTCACTATGTCGGCTCATATTTTGAGTAAAACTACCTAAAATCCAAATGGTTTTACTACTCAAAATAAGGTTATAATCATCTCTTACCAGTTTCTCGTAACCGTCTTTGAATTAGGCAGGTGTCTATTAGGGAATCTGTCAGCGTATAATCTTTGTGGTTTTAAAGCATTACACCTTGCCAATCTGTACATTAAATGCATATGAGAATATTCATCAAACGTATACTCCATGTTGTTTAACAACTTATTGTCAACTTAAAAATATTTATGAAGATTAAAGCAATATTATGACAAACATTAGAAAGCTACTGAGATATTATCCAAAGCAACTTGATCATTATGTTATAAAAATGTTTTATCATCATGGTACAGATAATGCATTGGAATATTTGAAAACAAATATCTCGAAAACAATTAGTTTCAGACACCTCTAACAAGTAAACTTTTTTTGTTGCGGAAATACGAGAAAATAAGACCATATACTGCTCTTTCGAGGACCACCAAAAAATCACCCTCTGAGTTATCACCTACTTTTGTTATTATAAGATTTTCTGTAGATTGGAAAATTCAGAAACGAAGTGATGTCCAACAACCGCGAAATTAAATAAATAATAATAATAAACGTCTTTATTAAATGATATACAGGGTTATCCAAATTAAGTGTCCACCATTAGTAACTTTGTTATTAGTGAAAATACAAAGTTGTTTGAATTAGCAAACTAGTAGCAATTTTAACGCTGGTAAAAATCAGAAATAAAAAAAAACAATTGAGAGTCGTTATTTTGATTTTTTTCAGTAAAATAACATTTTTTTTAAATGGAAACCCCTGTATATTATATTTTTTTCTGTTAAAGCATAAAATTTTAAACAAAAAAGTTCATAATGACTTTTCCGCTAAAGTCAGAAATAAAGTCAAAATAACGATAAATATTTTTAATTATTTGCAGTATTATAATATTAAGACGGCTATGAAAACAACATGGCGTTCGCGATTTGACAGCATTAAGATAAGCGACAAATTGTTAAACTGGACATACTCGCAACTAGAAGGCTTTGGAAAACAATGATAAAATCAAATAATGTCAAACATTAGTGTAAATACTTGTTTATATGCTTTATTGTGTCATTAATTTAAAGAAAAATGTTCTCCCATGAAGAAAAGTGTGATATGTTAGAATGCTATTTAGTGTGCAGAAAATCCTCCTTGAGAGCAAGAGAATACTACAATGAATTATATCCCGCTCGCATTCAACCGTATGAACGATATTTTCTGAGACTTTATCGAAAATTTAGGGGCAACGAAAATGTTTTTGCTAAAACAAGGGCAAAAAAAGAATTCATAATAAGCGAGGCCACGGAAATTGCAGTTATTGGATATTTTGAAGCTTATCGTGAGAATTCAATAGCAGATATTCTCAAGGACTCTAATTTCAGTTATGGTACTGTTCAAAGGATTTTTAAAAAATACAAATTTATTCCGTATAAGTACCGACCAGTTCAAACGCTTTTGGCAGGGGATCCAGAGAGAAGACTTGTTTTTTGCCATTGGTATCTTAGCTTCTGTCGCCAAAATGTAAATAACTTTCGTTACCTTTTATGGACAGATGAATCAAATTTTTCAAATTCTGGAATGTTTAATAGAAAAAACCACCATTATTGGTCAAGAGAAAATCTTTTGTTAGTACATCCAAGAGGCCCACAAGTCCGTTTCAGTTTCAACGTTTGGTGCGGTATAATTGGTTCAAAAATTGTTGGCCCGTTCTTTTATGAGGGAACCCTAACTGGTGAAAGATATGTGGAATTTATGTCAGAAATTCTGACTAATTTCTTAGACGAATTGGATCTTATAAGTAGACATCATCTGCATTTTCAGCAAGATGGCGCACCTGCCCACAACTCCAGAGGTACTTATCATTTTCTAAGTACTACTTTTAATGATCAGTGGATAGGAACAAATGGCCCAATACAGTGGCCTCCCAGATCACCAGATCTAAACCCACTTGATTACTTCTTGTGGGGTTACTTAAAGAACCAAATTTACAAGCGAAGGTACGATAACCTTGACGCGTTAAAGACTGCAGTTAGGGAAAAGATAACCCAGATAGATGGTAGGACCATACTTAAGACAGTTCGAGCAGTTGAAAAACGTGCCCCAAAATGTATTGAAGAACAAGGTGGTGTTTTCGAGCATCTTCTTTAAAAGAAATTGTTATTGTATTTTGTAAGATTATAAGTTGATGTTGAAAATAAAGTTTGTCGATACAATTTAATTGTTTCAGATTGGAGGCCATAACTTCAACAATTTGTAACCTAGGAGAAAAGTTATTGTAAGCTTTTTTGTTTAAAATTTGATGCTTTAACAGAAAAAAATATAATATACAGGGGTTTCCATTTAAAAAAATGTTATTTTACTGAAAAAAATCAAAATAACGACTCTCAATTGTTTTTTTTATTTCTCATTTTTACCAGCGTTAAAAATGCTACTAGTTTGCTAATTCAAACAACTTTGTATTTTCACTAATAACAAAGTTACTAATGGTGGACACTTAATTTGGATAACCCTGTATACAATACATGTGTATATATAAAGTGTAACTATAGTGGCGAAGTTTAGCAATATGCTACTCTAACACTTAACCATTAAAGTTAAATATTACGTTGTTAACAGCTAACAGAAAAAAAATGCAAAATATATATAACAAATCACTCATAACCCATATGAGAAGTGGAAAATGAGATATTTTGTGTGCACATACTGCTACTCTAAAAAGGTCTATGAAATATTGAGGGAAAAGTTAATCGTTCAAATAACTCAACTTAACATTGTAGCGGAAACATGGTAAACTCATGGTCTTAAATTTACTGTCCAAAGAATTATATATTGCTGCAACGTTATATGAGAAACTTCGTTGGAACAGAGATGTATGCTTCGGAATTCTGATAACGTTCCTGTCTCTAATAGCTCTATTGTGAATGGTGTTATTAAAAATAATTTTTTCACATAGGTCTTCTGGCTTAGAATTAATTAAAATTTTATGGATAAATGTGGAAAAATGTAACTTGACCAACTGGTTAAACTTTGGCCATCTCAACTCTGCATATTTGTGAGAGACATGGTCGAACTTTCTCATGCCGAATATAAAGCGAACACAGCTGTTTTGAATCAATTGGATTCTGTGTTTAGTGATCTGATCCAAACAGGGAAAATATAGAATACTGCAGTAGTTCAAGACAGACACAACGAAGGTTTCGCAAAGTTTTTTCCTCATTTTGAAGTTTTGCAGATATCTGTTTGAATAAAGACTGCGTAAACGTGCATAGGTTTTTTGTGTCAGATTTTTTACATGCTCGGTAAATCTTAATTTTGCATCAATTTCTACACCCAATATTTTTGCGCTATCGATGAGCTCGAGCTGCTTATTGTCTATGTTCACATTTAAGAGCGAAACAACGTCGTTCCTTCTGCTGTCTGAACAAAACAATAAAATCTTAGATTTTTCCGGGTTTATGCTGAGGTTGTGATCTGCTGAATATTTGCATAGACTATCAATATCTGCTTGTAATACTTGGGCAGTGCTCTGTATATCTTCTATACCGCAACAATGCGAGAGCTGGGTGTCATCAGCGAACGATTGAATATCAGAGTTGTAAACTGATCTAGATAAGTCAAATGTATAGATTAAAAACAAAATGGAACCCTGAGGCACTCCTGAAGCTATGAGAGTGACATCAGATGTAATACCCTTCACTGAAACACATTGAGTCCTGTTTTTAAGATAGTTTTCAAAAAAATTGATTACAACCTCATCACAACCAACAGAACGTAGCTTAGCACATAAAAGTTTATGATCTATCTTATCGAAGGCTTTAGAGTAGTCGACTGATATTAAAGCTAAACCCATTTTTTTGTCCAGAACACGAAAGATGTTGTCGCATATGTTTATTAAAGCTGATGTTGTATTATAATGTTTTCTAAATCCCGATTGATTAGGTGGGATTATCTGATGTACTTCAATGTATGATGTAAGTTGAAGTTGTACAATCTTTTCAACGATTTTTGACAAAATAGGTAGTAATCTGATTGATCGAAGATCTGATAGGAGACCGGGTTTCAAAGTTTTTCCTATAGGTATTATCAGTGCTTGCTTCCAAATTTTAGGCAAGTAAATATGACAGATAAGATAAACATTAAATTATTCAAAAAACTTTATCTTGATTTAATCTAAAAATTAAAATTAAACACAAACCTGGATTCAGATAAAAATATGTAATCATAAAAAAATATACAAAAGTATGTGAGATTACAAATAGACCAAGTTTGTTAAGTAACTTGGATCCATTAGAGTTTGCAGATTTTCAGCATCTGGGTGTAAGCTTGACTTTAAAGGGTCTTGGAGCTATGGTCACACCATCGAAGCCCTCAAGGCTGAGATTGTCATCATCTACTTTATCTAATGTGAAGTTGTGTAGCACAGCAGTGAAGAATAAGAAGATATTGGTTTTGCCCAACGTTTCTCCCAGGCAACGTCTTTTACCTGAAATAAAACGAATTCAGAACAAAGATCTTCTAGATCAAGCTTCGAATATACCAAAAATATTCATAGTCATCACCTATTACAAAATCTCTCTGCCATTGTTTCCTAGGAAGGTTGAGCAAAGTAATTATGAAACATCAGCTGGGATATCAAGAAAGACATTCTACCAATATTTTACGTAAGCGTAAATAATAATAATAATAATAGCTTTATTGTCCAACAGTTTCCCATTTATAGGACAATTTATAAACATAATACAAAAGCAAAAAAAAGCGAAAAAAAGCGAAAAGAAAACAACAAATTCAACACAGGTATAAATTTGTAACATGAGCTAGTGGTCCGAATAAGCCTTAGCTGCCTTTAGCAGGTAATTAACATTTGTCGTAAATATATCACAGTAACATCCAATTCTGTTTAAGTTAGAGCACATTACATATAACGGTGACTTGAGAAGAATGTTTGTCCTAGCTCTAGGAAGCCCGAATATTTTAAATGCTGAGGTACACGGAATACTGTAAAGAGCTTGAACATTTTCTGATCAAAATTTTGACTTTCTAAGACCGTGAGCTCACGCAACCGCCGAGTAACGATTGTGTATAGAAGCCTGCTCTTTTTTTCATTTTTTAAGACGATTCTTTCGGATAAAGTTTTAAGCTTTCTAAAAATATCACTGTTGATCCATTATGTTAACAGAGTGTGAATAAATTAGCAATATTTCATTAGGGCTAGTTCGTCCCTCGCCATATATTTCATATCAACACCAACATATGAGGCCTGAACTAGTTCAAAATTCAAATGGATTATACGATATTGTTCGAAAGTATTTGAAATAAATCCATCCCCAGTGGTGGTGCGTCTCTCGCCGAAACAAGGTGGCATATCAAAAATTGTCAAAAGGCAAAGTAGCCTTACAATCATCCAAAGAACCATCCCTTCAATCCTTGACCCACGTTTTAGAAGCAGACTTTGTATTGACGTGGAGATGGCATCATATCTAAACCGATGTATATATATTGCATTCAGAATTATTCCTATATCCTGCTGAACTGACTGTTGTTATAGTTGATAAATGGGCAACTTACCTGAAACTGAAGCTTTGGTGGCTTAATCGAATTTTAGTCAATGTATGACATAATACAGTGGACCTCCGATAATCCGACAAACATTATGCAGGGCAGTGTCGGACTATCGAATTTGTCGGATTATAGAGCACTGCCCAAGACCCCCTATAGTCCGGAATTTTTTACAAAAGAGTACCTTGTAATCCGGCAAATTACATATCCAATGGTAAGATTATATATGTTATGTATATGTAGGTACTGTATGTACTTTGAAGTACAAATCATACATAGTTTATGTATGTCGAATTTAGTAAATTAAATAACAATAGAGAGCTTACGTTTTATTATAAAATTAAGCATAAATGCACATACATATGTACCAAAATAATCAAGTATTATTAATCAAAGTCATTAATGAATTTATCAAACTATGAAGCTTGGAAATATTCATCAATTTTTGTTTTGTTTAAGGTTGTTATAACGCGAGATCAGAGCATTGTCCCTCGGTCTTCTCAAAAGTAAAAGTTCGTTGTAGGATGTACCACTCTCTTCAGCCCATTGCGTCTTGTGCTGTGACTTGTGGAGCAGTTGCAATCACGTCGTCGTTATTTTCCTGACTGTTTGTTGTATAATTAGAAACCTCTTTTATAATCTCTTCGTCAGACATTTCATGAAAATCATTTTCTTCTTTATCCACTCCACGGCACCAGATTTCCAAATCTTCCGGACTTATCTGTGTTTCAGTAGCGACTTGTTCTATAACTTCCGAAGTAACACTGATTTGTGGAACGTTGCTAGGAGTGGTGACTATATCTGGCCATAACTTTTTCCAAGACGATTTAATAGTTGATGACGGTAACGCATTCCACGACTGGCAAAAACCAAGTCTTTCATATTAAATTCTTTTAAAGTTTTTTTATTGCTTGGTCTTTTGATACGGCTCTCAAAAGTAGGTTTTTCTTATAGTCTTACTTGACAAACTGAATGATATTCTGATGCATTGGTTGAATCAGTGCAGTGCAATTTGGCGGAAGAAACATCGCAGTGATACATTTATCCTCAGTTGTTAGTTTTTCTTCAGACGGATGACCGGGAGCGCAACAATGCTTTTTGAGGAAAATTATGATCTTTTAACCATTTTCTAACTTCAGGTACGAAGCATTCATCAAACCACTTTTTGAAAAGGTCTTTTGTCATCCATGCACTTTTTTGTCCGTAATAGTGTACAGGTAAATCAATTTTTTTAATGCCCGTGGTTTATTAGATTTCCCAATGACCATCATCTTAAGCGCGTGTGTGCCCGCAGCGTTAGCACATGTTAGTATGGTTACACGCTCTTTACTTACTTTTCGTCCAGGTACGGATTTTTCGTTACAAGAGGCGAAATTTTTGTTAGGCATCACACGCCAAAAAAGCCCTGATTCGTCTGCATTGTACACCTGTGACGGGTCAAGATTTAAATCGTTCACCTTTTGCAAAAATCTTAATTCAAAGGGCTCTATGCAGGCGGCATCGTTAGAAAGTTTCTCTCCTGTAATAGTCATTAATCGTATGCCATGACGACTTTTAAAACGTTCTAGCCATCCTTTGCTGGCCATAAAATCATCTTTTTTTGTTATTTCCTTATAAAAAAACTTAGCTTTCATGGCCAACATGGGTCCTGAAATTGGTGCATGCCTATTCCTTTCCTGAAGAAACCACATGTACAAAACTTCTTCCACTTCTGGATGTTCAGCTTTCTTGAGTGTCTATCTCTTGCCTGGCCGGCAGTCAGTAGTTGACACGAGCTTCTTGATCTTCTCGTGATTTCTTTTAATGTCATAAATTGTAGATCGGCATACGCCGTATTCACTTGCTAAACTACTGAAAGTTTCATTGCGATTTAAGCGGTCTAAAATATCACATTTTTCTTTAATTGTCAATGTTTTGTGCTTTCGCTTCTGAGTTTGTGATGACTGATGACATTACTAGGTACTATACTTAATACACAATGAATAAATAGTAAACAATGAACGCACGCTAGGCTGTACCGCTATCACCAGTAGTCAAATTCAAACTAAGTAAAACAATGCTTAAGCGTCGATCACGATAGCGATGGCGCGTACAAATTGTAACCTGTTCAAACCTGCGTGATCTACATTAGCGAAGATTGTCAAATACGTATGTATGTAATACATATTCAAAGACATGTCGGATTACAGGGGGCGCCGGATTAGACAGGGGCCAGATTATCGGGGGTCCACTGTATTTGGAATTGGAATTAAACATTCTATTTACTTGTACAAACGTTCAACATGGCGTCCGTAATAAAAAATAAAGTTGATTATTGACGACAAGGAATGAATCGTCAGATTCAAATTGTAATTATGCCGCCTTGTAGAGTTAGTTAGTAGTTAATATGCAATTTATTTTGAAATCCTACCGCAAATAAGGTCATAAATAAAAAAGATTTTAAGAAAATTCTGCCTTTACCGACTCTCTCCGAAAATACAGTAATGTCCGCTTATAACGAACCCGTTTATTGCAAACTTCCGTTTATAACGAACTAATTTATAAGGCACCGACTGAAATGATATTAAATGTGTGCTATTTTTCTTGCATATATATAACGAACCCGCTTATAACGAAACTAAATATTTGATATATACGTAAAATTTTTCGGATATAACGAGCTTAAAACTGGATTTTACCAGAATCAGGTAACCGAAATCTTTAGACCGCGTGGTGAGGTATGAGCAACCTTGTTTATTCGTTGCATTCAGTGTCCTGCACTCTTGAAATCCTGGGTGACGCAATTTCTAAGAAAACACGTAAAGCTCTTACTTTAAATAGTAAATACGTTATCGTCAAACGATTGCAACGAGGTGTGAAGCAAAGTGAAGTTTGTTTTGAAATGGGATTAAGTACTCGTACATCAACGGTACTGCACAATAACATGTCCTAAACATACATACATAAGCACTCTGAGATATGAATTTGATTTACAATTTTTCATGACTGTCGAATACCTGGATGATGATGCCATTGTAGCTACTGTATCTTCGGCAGTTGATACTGATGATGACGAAGAAAAGGAAAATAAAGATAAAGAATCTGTCGGTATGGAACTGGTACCAACTCCAACCACATCAGAAGCACTTCGACGTATCGACGGCGTTCGTCATTTCCTTCAGTCATGAAATGCTCCGCAGCGCGTGATAGCTGAAGTGGAATTATATATTGATATTCATTTAACAAAAATAAACCAAACTAAAATAAATGATTTTTTAAAAATGATTTTCAAAAACTTTTATAAATGTGAATTATAGATATTATTATGTACTATTACAAACATTTTATATACCCCTGGTTGAATAATAAACTTTTGGAAAAAAATTTTTGGTATTAGCATTATTTATCGTTTATTATGCCGGTCCCTTGAGGTTCGTTATAAGCGGACATTACTGTACTGCGAATTGCGAAATTTCCTTTTCTCAGTTATCTGAAAGCGCGACTTTGCGATTCGAATTTGAGACACGCGGTATACGTCATTATTACCTATGCCAAACGGCATGAAGCAGCTTTCGTCAAATATTATTTCATTCTTCTCATCCAGGAACCTTTCCGGTCTAAATTCAAGGGGATCCTCCCAAAGCTTCTCATCCATGTGGATGCTATGAAGATTTGTTAAGACTATAGTGCCTTCCGGAACGTTGTAACCACCAAGGACGGTGTCTCTAACTGCTCGGTGAGCGATTCCCAAAGGTGCTATGTTCGTGCGTCTTTGAATCTCCATCAGTACTGCTTCGGTGTATTTTAATCTGTAAAATACCATTGATTCAGGTAATGAACACTTCTTCGGCTTATTTTGTTATTCGTTGTCTGTCAGAGCGGTCCGTAGAAACATAGATTTGTCACAAGTCACAATACTGGAATATACGTATAAATTGTAAGAATGGTGCTGTAATCGTAAGTGATGTCGAAGAGGGACAGCGTTTGGAATACTAAAGGATGCAGAAAAATCGCGATGTTCAGTTCATATAGCTATAACTTATAGTAAGTATGCCTCTGTCCTCATGATGTGTCAGAAAGGAACACAATGGTGTTAGATTACAAAAGCAAGTGTCAGACGTCTAGGGGGGAGGGCGCCCCCTCTCTAAATCTGCCACTGGTCTTGAGTGCCTGTAAATTTGCCCGTGTAGTCTGCTAACTGACGTAACAGAGGATTACTTGACAATACAGGGTGTTTCACAACTTATCTGACAAATCTTAACTACATATGCACTGTTACGAAAAAAGTTGATTTACTAAAAAAAAAATCCTACAGATATCGAGATAATAAAATAATATGTAATATGCGTCACGCTGTTGCATGTGATACCTCTGGGATCGGTTGGGCTAACTGCCTTTGCTTATTCCCGGATTTTCTTCCAGAATATCAAAAATTTTCGACATTTAAAGCGCGTTGTGGGCGAACCCGATCCTCATCTACTCCACGTCTGGGGTGCAAATCTCCACTAGCACGTGCACGTAAAACAATAATTGAACTAAATGTTTCGTGATGTGGTATGTGTCTATTCGGAAATCGGTGTGCATACCAACGAGAAGCCGCTCGCGAATTTTGCCCTGCTTCTCCGTACGCTAAAGCAATGTCCACTAACTCGTCATTAGTGTACACATCTGCCACTTTTACGAGCCCCTTCCCACTTCAAGATTTGTACCAAAATATGCCTTTATAAACTAAACAAGACAAGAAAATTTACTTCTAAAACAATTTATTTTCTCAAGTAAACAATGTGCGAATAAATGCGCGAAGTTAACAAAGCAACAATTGAAAGATTACCATTGGGTAACATTGTTGAGGTGTCCATTGTCTATGTTCTTTAGCCCATCTAAGCCGATTTTTCTTTTGCAGTGGAGTTAATAGTAGCTTTTCTTTGGCCAATAAAAAAGTTGTGCAACTTTAGGGTTTTTACTTCACTTTTTTATAAGAAAACTTACCTTGCAAGTGCTAAATCCCAGTTTGTGGGCCTCTCTATGAGTTGTGGACCTCGAAATTCTCCTTCCAACAACGTCACTCCACAGAGCACTTAATTGTAAATAATTGGCACGCCTGTTTTTCACGATTATTCTTCTTAATGCCCTTCAGTCGGCATTTGTGATATTACTTTTTTTCACATATCGTGGCTTAATATTAACTGCACCAGTTACTTTATATCTTCTAACAATATTTCTCACACTGTACCGCGATAAGTCTAACAATGTTGCAATTTCTGAGTTTGATTTCCCAGAATTAAAAAATTTAACTATCAGTAACCGAATTTTCTCACTAATAACCTTTCCTCTACCCATTTTGAAAACCTTAACTACCCAAAACTATTTTAAACGTATTCTGATAGCTGTGATTAATAAAAACAATTGTCATGGCTTTTATTTTTCACAGCCACCTATGCGTTATAGACTTATTTTGCATTGAAATGAAAATAGGTTGATATGCTGTAATTGCAACATGTGTTATATTTATGCTGCAAATTTGATTAGGAAGTGATAAAGTTGGTGTTATCTACTATATATTATCAAAATATTCATTGTTAATATTTCAAACCTATAACACCCTGCTACATTTTTATTATTTGTGTTTGATAACAAAAAAATCTAAGATTTCAATAGTTGGGCCAACTGAAGTGGGAAGGGGCTCGTATTAATAAGTATTCAGATCACCCACGATACAGATTAAACCTTATTTACACGTTCTTATAAGTATGAAAAAACAAAAAATTCCTGGTATTTTGTTTTCATCAGTTGTTGTTTTCAACATTTGCTACAATAAATAATTAATGCGTGTTCTAATATCACGACGATGAACGCAAAATACAGATATTTATTTTTCAATTTATTATTGAAACTCAGGTTTATAACTTAATTTCTGTAGGACTTTTATTTCATTTTTTTTTTGAGGAATCAACTTCTTTCGTAACAGTGCATATGTGGTTAAAATTTGTCGAATAAGTTGTGAAATACACTCTAGTGTTGCAGCACATTTAATTTAAAACAATATTCTCCCTGATGTAAGGGATCTCAAATTATTTGTGGAAGGTTTCACTTGAGGCGTACCATAAGGTCTTAGGCGATAACGTCACACGATTAGTATTTACTGTGGCCCGTACCGTCGGTATTTACTGATAATTCTTCAGTCAGCGATTTCTATGTAACATTATACAACTAACACAGCCAATAAATCACCGTATATTCTTATCATATGGTATTCGCCTTAGTAATTTTGAGTCGAGTTTTGCTGTGCAAGCTTCAGATATCTGTATATAGTATAAAAAGTATTTTAATGTGGCCATTACTTTTAATCCAGTCAACATAAAAACTAGGTTTGCACAAATTTCCACAAAGCTGAAGATTTGTACAGACCTTAGATACACCGTTATGAATAATACAATATATTAAAACTTCTAATAAATGCTTGGTGGGGAACCTTGTTTTATTTGGATTGAAATGTCAAAAATATCACGTTTTGTCATATTTCTCTAAAAGCGAAGCAGATACTACAAAACTACCTCATACAATCAGAGAATGCAGTTATCTAGAAAAGTTGTTCAATTACTTACTTACTCTTTGATCAGCGATGGGCGTTTACGCGTATACATTAATTGTCTACGTCTCGATGTATACAATGCATATACAATGAATGCAATGTATACAATGATGAAGACAATGTATAGAATGGAAGGTTAGGTTTATTGGCATACGTCAGAAAGTCGGTAAACAGTGAACCGACAACTTAAAAAAAAATATGGTTGGACGCTCCAAGAACAAATAAATCGACGAACTAGGGTTCATTTGTTGTTCCTACTTTATTTAAAACTGTATCTTTGTATACGTATATAAATAATAATAATAATATTCATTTACTCTAAATAAAATATATCCATAGGAGGACAATGCCTGTGCATGGATCATATGTATGTTGAATTGCAAAAGATAAAAAAAGAATAGAGGGAAAAAAATATTGGTAAGAATGATAGCATTTATTATCATTAGTCATTATCATTAGTTGGGTATAATTTTGATTTGCCAAACATTGATTTTAAAAGTGTTCTTTAAAGTATAGTACATCTAAATCGTTAAGGTATGTCGTGCATGCAGCACCCCATACTTCTATACCATATGTTATGTGCGGCTCGACTAAAGCATGATATATTATTCGTAGATAATATTCAGTTAATATACCGGTTAGAAATTTTCTTTTATATGCTATGAATCTAATTTTCTTTAGTATCTAAGAAATATGTACATCCCATCTCAAGTGGGGATCTAGATAAATTTCTAAGTATTTTGTACCATTAACTCTATTGATTTTTCGATTTTTATCATTTACCTTAAAGTGAAGCTGGTTTTATTTTGGTCGATGATTAGATAATGATGAAAATGGTAAAGTAGTAAAGTTAATTGTTAATTTCGGTTATTAAACCACTGAATAATTTTGCAAAAGTTATTTTATATAACATCTTTTAAATCGTTCCAATCCTTACCTTTATAGAGTATAGCAGTGTCGTCCGCAAAACTGACTATTTTACCAGTAGTATTAATTTTGAATATATCGTTCAAATAAATATTGAATAACAGAGAACCCACATTTAACAAACATTTCTTTACTATACGAGTTTAATAATTTTACTGATTGCGTTCTATTTGATAAATAATTTTCCATTAAAGTATACATCTTTCCACGAAAATCTATTCTTTCTAAGATTTCCAAAAGTATATGTATTGTGGTTAACTGTGTCAAACGCTTTTTGTAAATCCACATATACGCATATCGATGGTACTATTCCATCCATATTTTGGGTAATTTAATCTACTATACTTAATTCCCCATCTGTTGTAGATTTGCCCGCTATAAAACCATATTGATTTGAATTTAAAATTTTAAATTTATTAAGAAAATTAATCACCTTATTATGGAGTAATTTCTCAAAAACTTTAGCTAAACTTGATATAAGTGAAATAGGCCGATATTTAGTGACATCCGTATTATCATTAGATTTATAGATAGGTATGATGATGGAAATACTCCAGATTGAAAGAATTTGTTAGTGTTCTGCTCTAATTTCGTCAGCTCCAGGGCTTTTTTTACTTTTTAGAGTCATAATGGCATTGAATACATCCTGATAGTCTACTTCAGTTAATACAAATGAATTAATCAGTCTTGTTTCACGCAGATGAACATCAGCATTTTGTTTGATATTATTTGCAAAGTTTTCTCCTATATTCGTGAAAAATTCTATGAAGTCGTCACATATTTGCTGAATATTCTGCATTTTCTGTCCTGTTTTTGTTTTTATTTCATTAATATTGTTTTTGAATAGGATGACTTATTGAATATATCATTGACAGTGGACCATAGGTGTCTAGAGTCATGTGAATTATTATTCAATTGTTTTAAATAGTAATTTTATTGCGTTTCTGGAAAGTTCTACAAATTTGTTTTTATACTGGTTATAATGATCTATATTTTCTTTTGCGGGTAAATATTTCATGATTTTACATTGTCTTTCTTTTTCGTTTGCAGATTTTATTAGTCCTTTGGTCATCCAATCATTTCTGCTTTCTTCCTTGTGATTTAGTTCAACCTTATTAGTACTAACTTCAATTACTTTTTGAATTTTGCGTATCTACAAATTTGTAGCTTCGTCTACAGAATTTGTTAAAAAAATTTCGTCCAACGATGCGTTAAATATTAAATTTGAGTTGTCAATGAAATATTTGTATTCAAGGTTTCTTTCATTTTTTGCCACTGGGCAGTTCTGGTTTTTATTTTGTCAAGATATTATATATTTTTTCATTGTTTATAAGCTGCTTCCACAGTCAAACCAATAATGCAAATTTTGCAGAATTTGTATCTATCCTGAACTGTCAGTTCCACCTAAAATCGGAAAACCATTAGGATCAATCTGGAATTGATCCCAAACAGACATAAATGTGTATTTGAACGTAGAAAACAAGACGTTGCAGCAAGTTACAGTTGTGTTCTGTGGCCTTCATCACTGTGGGATTTTCGCCAGCACTATATGCAAGTAGTTGAACTATGATTTTCTATTGTACTCGTATACATTATATACATTTTATACATTGTATACGTGAATATCGAGACGCGTATACTCACCATTGTATACGCGTATACAATGGTGTATTATACATGGTGTATACAATGCGCCCATCACTGCCTTTGATTCACCATTCATGAGATTTACTGATCTGCGCATTCTCAGCTACTCTTCTACTTTTATGTGGCAATATGAACATATATGTCGAAACATTGATGTATGCGACTTATGCTAAACTACACACCACTTACACAAGATGTTCCAAAAAAAGGTGTCAGTAGTTTTTCTAAAAATGCGTTCCATGAACGACCAAAGGCTTCTATGTGAAACAGTTGAACACGAAATGCTTGAAAACTCAAAAAGAAGGTAATAGTACCATTCAAACAGACTGTCGTCTGCTTAAGGTGCGCTGAAAATGATTGGAAAGAGAAGTCATATTTTTGGAGAAAAACTGCTTGAGACCTTCATTATGTTATTACAATTAATACGTATATATATATATATAGAGCGCAAAATTTTCTATTGGAGGCTACATGTCAAAATTTCCATTTTTATAATTCTTTGGAACGGTATAAATAACCACAAAAAGTAGCTTTTGTCACAATTTTAGAAGATGCTTTTGCTTTTCTTTGTGAGTCGCTGAGTTTTTAATCTTCTGTACATTTGTAGTTATAGGAAGCAATCGATTTTCTTCACGACACTGAAGAAAACGTAAAAAAAATATTCATCAAATTGCGATAAATGATAATTTACTCGGATACTTGCTCTACAAACTTCATATAACTCGTTTTTATGATGACTAACTAAAAACAATGGGACAATATTCTCATTACATTTGGTCATAAGTGCGGAAGTTAAATGCATCAATAGGAACTTTGCTATATCTATTACTTGCAACCGCAAACTAAAGGTGAGTAAAGACACCGACATATTTTTTAAACAGTGAGTCATCTGTCTACACAGTGCGACATATAATTTTTGAGACTGGACCTATAAAATAGGATACAGACAACATATTTTCGTACTTATTGTTTTATTTATTCAATTTCTTTTGCTTCAATACACTTGTTACATCGATTTAAAAGAGATTCAAATGCCTGATCCAGCTCATTTTGCGGTATTGCCTCTAGTGCCCATGTTGAAGCTGTATGGATGGTCGAAAAAGCATCTTTTCAACTTTAATTTCAGTTTAGGAAATAAAGAAAAGTCGCCAAATCAGGTGCATATGGTAGATGATTAAGCATACAAACTCTATTTCGGGCCAAAAATTGACGAACAATAATTATAAAATTGTGAGATGCGTGTTATCGCGCAAGAGCGACCATCTGTTTGGATTTTGATATTCGGGAGGGATACGACGGGTTCTGGCCATCAAACGCTTTAAAACTTGGAGATAGTAGTTGCCAGTAACTGTTTAACCAGGTGGGACGAATTCCTTATGGATAATTCCTTTGCTATCGAAGAAGGTGATTAACATTGTCTTGATTTTTGAAGGCACTTCCATTCCGCACTTAGACGCTTGGTTGTGGGATCGTACTGAAAGCACCATGTTTCATTACCCGTAACAATCGATTTCAGAAAGTTCGGATCATTTCTGGCGGCTGCAACAACTTCTCTGGTATGGGCAACTCTCATTGATTTTTGTTCATCCGTCCAAGTGTGTGGAACACATTTAACACAGACTCTTGCTTTGTAGAAATCCTCATGAAGAATGGTCCGAATCGTCTCTCGATTGATGTTCAGCGCCTCTTCCATCATTTTCAGTGAAGCGGTGCAATCATTTGCAACAAAATCGCGTACCTTTTCAATCATGGTTTTCGAACTGAAATTGGCTTTCCCGTATATTCGTCATCTTCTAGCGATTCTCTACCATTTAAAAATAGTTTGTGCCACACGAAAACATTTGGTGCATGAACCGGAATGTTTCTGCTGCACTTTTACCGCTCTTTGTTCCATGATGAAATTTCAATATCGATTACAAAAATTGGTTAGGAAGCGCCGTCACAACTTAGTCATTTGTCATCTGATATACTCGTATGTACATGAACTAAGGTGCGTTGGAAAGAAAAACACTGTACCCTTACAATGCAACTGAATTTTTACAGATGGCGCCACTCGTTGCTGAGATATGACGCCAGTCTTAAAAGTTATTTGTCGCACTCGCAAAAATAGCAATTAGACAGGTTTCAAAGAGAAATGCACGATCTACAATTTTGTTGTAAACTATTTTTGAGGTTACTCGTTCCGTTCCAGAGAAATATAAAAAATAGTTTGGACATGTAACGCCCAATAGAAGGTTTTGTGCTCCAAGGATGGATGAGGACTTTCGATATATTAATTGACACATTGAATGGTACAGATCAATACCTTTTTTGAAGAAGAATCACTGACAATTTTTTTGACTCAGCTTGAATAAGTGGTCTGAATTTTACTATAAGCTGCATACATCAATGCTTCCACACATACAGAGAAATCCATATACGAGAGAGAAGCGCTAAAGGCGTGCAATACGTATGTTAGAATACAACATACCACGTTTCCTAGCAACCCGAGTGACGATGCCACAGGCACAGTTGCGACTTACCCTTTCTACTCTCTTTCGTACATATTGCCCGTCAGTGATATTTGGATTTTTCTGTATGTTCATATCGAATAGTTGATGGCGTGCCGCATAAGAACAGGAGAGTACCTGAGTGCGCAGATCAGTGAATCTCATAAACAGTGACTCAAGGAATAAAAGTATTTGGACAACTTCTCTAGACAATTGTCTACAATTTTTTCAGAAAGTATTTTTGTGGAAGCTTATCCCCTTTTAGAAAAATATGACTAAACGTGGTATTTTTGACATTTAAACACAAATTAAACAGAGTTCCGCTTCTCGGATATATGAAGAGTTTTGATATATTATTCATAACGGTGTTTTCAAGATGTGCACCAATTTTTAACTCTGTGGGAATTTTTGCAAACTTGCTTTTTTATGTATTGTGTCTAGGATATTGCATTCAAGCCATTGACAAGAGTTCTCTCATGATGTGCAAACTCCATCTCAGATATTATGCGAACAACTTTTTAGGGCTAACTTACACATAAAGATCTTTAGAATACAGAAATCTAATTTTATCTAATGGTTTCTCATTTAATAACTTGTGATCAAAGGTCATTAAGGAAATATGATATATCTTATAACCATTAGAGTTGAGACAACTCACTGTATCAGTTGAAAGGCCGACAGTCTATAAGCGAGGTTTTCGCTCACATTTCAAGTTGATCGCATCTATGAAATTTTTGCATTTAAATACTGCTCTTTATTTTAGTACTTGATTATTTTTTAAAAGTCCAAAGTTCGCTATTTTGTCATTTTTGTCCAAAATTCGCATATTCTCTGATATTTAACTCAGTATCTTTATATGGACTCATGGTTTTTTAAAAGTTCGTAATTTTGGCATTATTGTCCAAAATTTACCCATTTCCATATTCTATGCTATATTTTCTAGTACAAATCTAAGAATACACACTGATACACAAATTATGTATAAAAATAGAAGTAGTAGTAAGAATTGAAGACTTATTATAGTTGTGTATTGATTTGTTTCAACTTCGGTTTTTATTGTGAGCGCAATGGTGCAAAGCTTTCTTAGGGTACTTTCTTATAGATGTTTAGTAGAAAATTTTGCTTTTCTAAAAAAATGTCGAAAGCCGAACTTTGGATTTTAAAAAAAGAGAAGTAAAGAGAACTGGAATAAAATGTTCATGAAGGTTTGAAATACAAACGCTATAATTTCATAGATGCGTCGATTATTTTCAGTGCTTATTGATATATTTTCTACTTCTAAAGGACTCGCCACTTAATAGATATAGTAAAACGATATAGTGAAACGTTGTAAAAATACATTGAATTGTGGAAATATTTACATTGGCTTATCACTCAGACTTGGCAATCTGTTTCTACCCACTTCTCTGTCAAGCTCGTCTTGTACTTTTCCTTGGACATCAGGATGTAAGACCATCAATAGCATTGAGAAGCCTAACGAGTTGCTGGTGGTTTCAGATCCCGCCATGAAGAGGTCCAAGCATAAGGACATCAGTTGATCGTCTAAAACATATCCTTTAATACTAGGTAGACCAATTTGTAATTATGATTTTCAAAAATCAAACTTGTTCCTTTGCTTAATTAGCGACAGCTCAGAAGCTTATTCTTTGCTTGCGGGGTACGTCTCGAGTATCAAGCAAAACAAATGTTACTACATATTTTTTTAAAATGAGTGCAGTTGGCATTTGCCTTTTAGTAAACAGATTAAAAGTTAGAATAAATAAATCACTTTTACCTGTGAACGACGTATCATTAGTGTATTCCATTTTTTGAAGAAATGCATCTATCAGATCTCTTGGTTGTTGCATATAGCACATAGATTTCCTATGGTCATTAATGGTTTCCTAGAGAGGAACAATAAAATAATCATCAAAAAACAACTCTAATCCCATTCTCATAACGTAAAGGGTTGATTAAAATTCACACCCTGGCTTTTTCCGTGTTCATGGGAACTATAACAGCCTTGATTACAAGGCTTTTCCCTTTCCCGACGGCCCCACAAGAATGGTTATATTGTTCGATAGACATGTGAGATGATGTTAGATTCGTCTTAGCAGTCAAAATGACAAAGTGTATTTAAATTTTATAAAATCAGAATGGCGGATATTGATCGAAAATTTCAACTATGAAATCTATTTCACAGGCTATTCTTAAACGGCTTTATGGATTTTGGTATATGAGGTGTCTCTGGATTTGTCTTGACAGTGCGATTGACATTGGGTATATAGAAAATTTATAAAATCAAAATGGCGGATTTTAACGCAAATTTCAGCTGTGAAATTTCTGTTGCACGAACTATATCTCAAACGGCTGGATGGATTTAGTCATTTGAGATGACTTTAGATCCGTCTTGATAGCAAAATCAAAACTGCATTCTTTTCAGTCACCACAGTCGGGTCAGGGGCATACCTGCTGCCGTATCAGCCGTATCAATCTTGCGACGAACGAAAAAATATTCGTAAAGTCTTTTTCACAATCTAACGCAAGTTTTTAGGCCGTGCGCTGAATTAAAAATTCTGAAGCCTTAGATTGTACGGCTAGGTGATAGTAGCATGCTTCCTATTTTTGAGCCTCTAGACTACATCTGCTTCAGCTGAAAAAGCTTTTCAAAATTGAAAGTAATTAAAATACTTTAGAACTTCTTTGAGGCAACTTTGACTATCAACAATGGTACTATATTCAGATGCTGACAAAAAATAGTTGCAAGCAGATTGACTCTGTAATTCAAAAGCATTCACCTATGCCTACTTTCAAATTTTCCCTGAGTCAACGTAAGTCTTGCTAAAGAAACAAAATGTTTGAGGTTTGTAATGTTTTTGTTGTGTCCTAATGGGGAGCAGTCAGAAACGATTAAAGCAAATTATATACATTTTAAAAAATTGTAACCTCTCCTTACAGATGTTTGATCATCTCTAAAATGTTTCAGAAAATTGTAAAGCATACAAACCTTAGGGCTATCCGAAAGCTATTTTAATTTTTACTTATAACACGGCTGCCATTTTAAGGATTTTCAAAATTAAGTTGTATTACCTTCTGTGACCCCACACGGATTTACGTTCTGTAGACATCTCAAAACAACACTCATTTATTTGAATTTCTAACATTTTTGTATTGAGCCCCCTCCCTCTCGCACCAATCCCAAAAAGCTCTTGCTGATGATCCACCCCCTCTAACTGAGAAAACTTCCTGCGGGCGACCATGGTCAGTATATGACAATTCATATTATTCAATGTTTCTTTTGTAAAAACCTATACTAAAATTTAACCTCCATTTGGGATTCGCCACATTTAGGTGCCCCAATCTCCTACAAATTTTGATATGAGGCCCCTGAGGAGCATGTCACTGAGTCGGGTTCTTGGTTTTTCGTAAAATATGTATTTGTTAAGGTATTTTTACATGCTAATTCTGTCATTTACGTAATAGTAATGTTAGCAGGACTGCAATTTTCGAAACTCTGTTGGATAATTGCGTTTGAAGAATGTGACGTCAAAATTCGAATGCAGAAGAACCTGGCATCTCCAACATATTCATCGATTCATCGCAAATGCCAAGTGCTTACAGATTTAGACTAATATAAATAATACATTTAAAAACGTTCAACATCATTGAATTGGAAAAACGCATAGCAAATATTTCTTAATTGTATTGAAGGTACATCTTTTTGTTTCGTGATAACATGAAATTTAAAAGTCATTTTCAGTCTTCAGTTTCACCTGTGATATTTAGGAAGTTGATACTTCATGTTTTCCTCCAAAATAATTTCTTTTTTCATATCGCACAAATTGCACCATGGTTTTCGACAGTCTTGTTTAGTAATTTTGTCGAAATATTCCAGGCACCACTAGTTATATTGGGCTGTGAATCCCCTAATATCGCTATCGACCGATTATCGGTATCGGCGAAAATCTTATATCGATTGAGCTGATTTTAAATTACTTGTATCATTGATTAAAGTATTCGGTGCTTGTAAGAAGTATGCCAGATCCTTAGAACAGTCAAGTAGGTTGACTCTTCAATTCCTATGTAACGCTGCCAACAATTCATAATGCGTTATAATGATAATAATAATAGTTTATTAGTGTCAATACACGTGATGTGGTTACACAAGTCAGAGCAAAATATAAATATATGTAGAAAGAGATAATAAATAACAAACAATACAATATAATTAAGACGAACAAATGCAAAAGATGCTGGGAATGGAAGAAAAAAATAGGGAAACTGTCAAAAGAAGCTCTTGATAAGCCCACTAAAATCGTTAATATCTAGAGCTTTTGTCTGATGAGGTAAGGAATCAAAAGTTTAAAGTCAAGAAAAACGTTTTTGGTTTTAGTCATTCTGTGATGTTTTATGTAGTAGTTTGACGTATTATTCGGCACAAGTTAGTCCCTCTTAGAAAAAAGTTGGCTACGAACACGTATTACAAATGAATTGAATGGATCGTGTCAGTCAAACAAGTTCATACAATTAGTGATCAGGATCCACTAAATCGCCAAAAAAAAACGAAGTATGTCTGGTTTATATTCTTTTCTTTTCGATTTTTGTCCGTTGCTCCGCCGCCAACAGATCGATTTTCAAAAACCACAAAGCTTTTTCGTTTTTCGCATAGTAGTAACCTTCTGTGAAAATCTGATCAAATTCCGAGGGGTACTTCACAAGTTACAGACGGACCAGGAATTAGCGGTCAGACTGACCGACAGACAGACAGACAGAAATGAGAGATATGGTTTTTCATGCTGTACTTGTCATATTACATCCAAAAAACATAATACTCGTATCTCATTTTGGAAATTTTTCAAGATTACAACACTTCCTCGCCAGTGGCGTAGGAAGTAAAAGTGATTGGTCGCTCAAGCCTTACCTCTAAAAATTGCCACATCCTTGTCAATACGTCCATAATTTTATTATAACCACAAGCATTCGGAGCAATATGTCTCAGATACGGCATTTGGTTAATCAGACCTCCAGACATATCCACTAGCCTGAAAGCATCATTGACTATCTGTAGTAGTTTCTTCAACCGTTCGTCTTCTATTTCAAACCTTTCACCTGAAGATAACATATATTATACTTATTAGCATTTCAAAATATAAAACTAACGTTTCAAGATCCTATACGACGTAACAGGGAAATTTTATTATTCAAGGTAGTTACTACTTTTAGTTACAGTTTAAGAGTGGGCTTAAATGCTTCAGAGGATGAATTGAAGAGCGGAGGTGAGATACGTCTAGGGAGCACTGCACGTTTCCACGATTTAGGTCTAGCAAGGAAATGAAATTTTCGCACCAAATGCAACAATGAGTCATTTCATTGATGAAATGGCAGAAGTTGACGCCTAAATCCACCATCGTGGTCACACATTTTATTGCAAATCAACCGCTTTATGCCTGTGATAGTTCTTATAATATATTCATGGATATTTGTTATCAGAAAATGAATTTCAATTTTCATAAGTGCAACTCCATTGAAATGCTTATAAAACTCATAATATGAATATGAAACTTGAAGATCTTTAAAAATGGACCTCACTGTTTTTGAAGAGATTGGCTTAGGCCCGTATCGTCAGTCGTCCCTACAATTGTAGGGCGCGTTTATGGCCTCCTTGATTGTCATCCACCTTTCTCTCCTTCAAAAATTTCTAGATTACACTTGTCCCGTGTCAGCGTCAGCGCTCTCCTATTGTGAAGATATGTTTTCTTTTTCAATTGTAGGAAATTTCAGGCTGATAAAACATGATATAACTCAAAAGCAAGCACAATTTGATGCAAATAGATGTTTGTGACATAACCTCAAAATAGAGTTCTGACACGGAGAAGCAGAAAAATATGACAATCAAGGAGGCCATAAAGGCGCCCTACAATTGTAGGGACGACTGACAATACGGGCCTTAATAGTTGATACACGTTTTAACACTTTACTGCAAAAGTTACATAATTTGCTTCGTTGCTGTTAATCGTGTTGTGTAGTAATGACGCTACCTTAAAAGATAAGCATGTAAGTAATATTTACCTGCCATCATTGCCCAGAGTCCATTTAGTACAGACACATCGAAAGCACTGTGCATGTATATGGGCTTATCGCATGTGTTCTCAAATATGTCTAATAACGATCGTGTTTCGTCTTGAATCATTTGCTCCATTTCTTTTTTACCAAAACCAAAACTACGCAAATGTTGTATTGAAAACTTCCGTTGCTTTTTCCAAAACTGGCCTTCGGAAAATACAATACCTAAAACAAATAGTTTAATTTAAGAATGTTAAAAAATTATCAAAATACACGCAAAAATATCCGAATGCGGTTCTGAGCATGATATCTTTATGCTTTAAGCCCGCTAGATAAACTCGTTAGACTACTATTAAATACCTCAAGCGTTCATAATTTCGGTGTATAAGAAAAGAAAAGCAGAATGTTCCAGAACTTTTACAACACCATGTCTACGAAATTTTGACAGCATATTAAATAACCGATGCCTCGCTTGATGGTATCCATGGACATGTTAATTTCTCTAGATTGTTATGGTCTGATTAGCCCAAACGCAATATCGCTAAATTGTTATAATGATGGCCTAACAATTTTTGGAAAACATGAATGTAATTGCTTTTGAATGACAACGATGACCTCCTCCTCCTCCGAGGAAATGTAGCATATTTAATAATTCCCTTAATAAACCGGCAACCCTGTCAGCTAGAGCTTACGCAATGTCTGCATCACAAGACAATGCGTGAAGGAGGAACGCCTTGGCTACATGATATTATCTGATAAAGATACGCACATCGACACACATTCGTTTTCCACCGATTTGCAAGTACCTCGAGTCATCAAGTAGCATGGGAATTTCAAACTGTTAAGATGGGATACAATTATTATTCGCCAAAATACAAAGGTGTTTAACAATGGGCAAATAAATATGATAACTCTACAGAAGGCTTTAGCTTTGTGTGGATTACATAATATCTTACTTTTACAATTAATGTACTGCCAGATGTCGAGAAGCTCTTAGAAGGAATCACATATGAACAAGTCATTGAATATATTGAAGAAAATAAGATATTGACAAAATTTCAAACAGGATTCAGAAAAAAGTTTTCTACTGAAACAGCAATTCAAATGGTAGAAGAATGGGAAATATGGATGAAAAAAAGTTTACAGTAACATTGTTCTTAGATTTTAAGAGAGCATTTGAGACTATTGACAGGGAGAAATTGTTAACGAAATTGCATTGCTATGGATTTCAAGGTTCAGTATTCAACTTATTACAAAATTATTTAATCAATAGAAATCAAAGAACTAAAATTAATAATACATTATCAAACATTAAAAACATTTCGGTAGGTGTACCACATTGTAGCAAGTTAGGTTCATTACTATTTATTTTATATTATATTAACGATATTTTATTATATTATTTATTTATAACACTTCAAAATTCAACTATTTGCTGATGATACATTAATATGCGAGTATATATCAAATAAAGACATTGAAACTGCAATAGAGCTGTTAAATAATGATATGAAGAACGTAATAAATTGGTTAAATGTAAATAAACTTAAACTAAACACAAACAAAACAAAATATATGCTAATAGGGAAATATTTAGAACAAAATACGATAAATCTTACAATTAATCATGAAAAAATTGTGTCAATCGAAACATTTAAATATTTGGGCATATACGTAGACAGTAAATTAAAATTTAAAGGGCACTATGAATATATTATTTCAAAAATTTCCAAGAAAATAATTACTTTTGCAAAATTTCGCATAGCCTAAGCATTTATTTTAAAAAAATTGTGTACAACACCATTCTTCCTCATTTGGTATATTGTTCAACTACTTTGTTCACTGCTAATGAAACTGTATTTTCAAAATTACAAATATTACAAAATAAAGCTATGACAATCATCTTCAATAAAAATAAATATACCAGAATAAATTGAATGCTGAAAGAACTACAAGATTAAATATCAAAAATTGCATAGCCTACTTGGTTTTCATTTTCATATTCAAGTTGAAAAATCATCTTCTATCAAATCACTTAGAAAATTTTATTGTATTGAACAATGAGTGCCACAATTATTCTACTAGAGGAAGTATAGACTTTCATTTTCAAAACTGCAGTAGCAATATAACGAGCAAGTCAGTATTTCAAAAGGGATTGTACAGATTTACTAAATTAAGTTATGATACCAAGATGTGTGACAGTTTGAAAATGTTCAAAGGGAAATTAAAATAATATCTCATGGAAAACCAGAATTCATAGTAGTGAAATTTTGTATAAAAATATGGAGTCGTGAAGACATAATATATTTTGTCATATACTGTGTAATATGGATATTATGGACATTGTGGCATTAATGCTAAATAAATCTGAAACAAACAAACAAAATAAAATTATTTCTAAAAATGTCTAAATTTGCATAATTTTGAATCTTGAATTTTTAGTTTTATTTACAGGGTGTCCCAGAAGTCGACGTCAAGCCGGAAACGGGGGATAGACCTAGTCTTAATAGTTATCAGAAAAATATAAAAAAATCTAAGTCGTGTACTTTTCTATATCCAGTGATGATTTTTTAGTTCTAGAAATTTCTGTTATTTCTTTGACGGACGTAGACTTGCGTAGTGACAGCAAGTTAGATAGTAACGCCCCTGTTATTAATTCATGATTGTGTAGTGCCACAATCTTTGTGTACATCGAACGGGAATACCCCAGCATGCACCTCATCTATGGGGAATGTAGATGCAATGCTAGTGTTACAGCTAGGCTTTATCGTGAGAGGTACCCAACGACAACGCCCACCTGTGGGTACTGGCGACCAACAGATGGGGCGCTAAGAATCCTAGTGGCAATTGGGAGGCGATAAATTGACTTAAGGGGAGGTGCAGCGATTAGTTTGTTTTTTAAAACAGTTAAAATGACAATTGAAACTTGCGTAGGCGTAATAAATTGGAGAAGATACTATATGTCATAGATGAATGCGGCAAATAGTGGCAGCTTCCAAGATTAGTATTGAAGAAGAAATCTCTTTATGCGTGCGTCAAGCACTTACACCAATTAACAAACTCGACTACGTCGAATTACTAAGCGCATCCCACCTGTCCGAATAATCTGGTTGAAGCGTATGTATATAAATAAGAAAGTCTTATTGGTCATTGGCCAGTTGCTTGACAGCAGCCGAATATTTTCCAACCGGTTACACGACATGCCTGGTACTTGGCCTCTTGCTAGTGATCCTGACCTATGTCTATCTCGGTGTCGTTGCCCTAACCACCAAATGTTCTCTCTGGTGGACCAAGAGGCCCTGACCGAAGAAAACTCGATTCTGTGTAAGCGAGGTAATGTCATCTCGTTGGGCATAAGCGGTACTTGCATTTCATAGGCGTCCATTAGGTATGAGCAAGGGGGCATATGTCCCCTGGCTTCTGCTTAAGAAGTAAAACATGCCTAATAGGGTACCCGTTTCTCAAGCAACGACTGGCATGTGCGAGTTGTAGGTAATTCTTATTCGGTTTTCATAGCAGCCGCGAAAATTACTTTACCAGATCTGAGTGTGGAGATGCGCACCCCCCTACCCCAGATGCTTAGGCCCATAAAGAAAGATGTGTTCGTTTTTAAAGAAATGGCGTCAAGTATGCTGACTCTGAACATTGCAAAAACTGTAAATCAGTGTCCTTGGCATAGTAGTAAGCTTGTGTAAAAAAGTCATCGAAATGTGAGCAGTACTTTCCAAGTTATAGACTAGCAAACAGATATACCGACAGACAGACCGACGGAAATGAGTGACATGGTTAAGATATATATCCTCCCCCAACTTTACCATCCTCACCCCCCTAATTTTTCACACCTAAACATTTCTCGCAGGATTCTCTGAAACGTGAAGAAGTTTCGTACATCTTCTATATATATATATATATATAGTATTCATAGTTAATTACCTTAACTGTTATGAGAAAATAGCCTTGAATTTCTTTGGGTAAAAGGCAAAGTTTGTATAAGTATATAACTTGAACTCGAGCTTTCGATGGACTATGCCATCATCGTCAGCGATATTGTTGCTGAAATTGTTCTTAAACTACAGTGAGAAGGAACACATAGACGACGAAGAAAAAACTAGACCGATGAGGTTCGATTAGGACGAAATTATTTTATTAATAAGTGGTAAACCATAGCTATGCTTTTTTTTAGTTTTAATCACGCATTGATTTGGAAGAACTTAAAAATCTATCAACTATTGAAAAATCCTTCGAGACTTCATCTTTCCTGATAACCTCCACATTATCCAACACGTGTCGGCCTAGGTCAGTCGGTCCAGTTTTTTTTTTTCGTCGACTATGTGCTTCCTCTCACGGTCGTTTAAGAACAATTTGAGCAACAATCTCTCCGACTTACTCCAGAGGATGATGGCATAGACCATCGAAAGCTCGAATTCAACTTATAAGAGTGTACTTATGCAAAACGTCGCCTTCTACCCAAAGAAATTCAAGGATATATATATTTATATATATATATATATATCGTGAGACTTGGTCATTGTCGTTTAGACCAGTTAGGTGAAAAAATAAAGCTTTCGCCTTTTGTTTGGTACTTCGACAAAATTCAAGCAAAGAGGACTCTTTATACTTTATTAGCTTTCAATGGACTTTGCCATCTTTATCAGGAGCTGCAATAACATTGAGAAGAAATAGCAAGAATTGTGCAAAATGATCAATTAACTTACAGTCGTATGTGAGATTGTTGCTAAATGTTATTAACGTTTTGGTTGAGGGAAACACTCAGTAACCTGGTGAATGCTGGATACATGGTACATTCGTCAAAATCAATATAAACTACATACCTGACCGACAGCGTTTTTTGAATTTATCATACGTATTGCACTTCAAAAGAAACTGCGTGTTGCCTAATTGTTATCTTTGTCAGTTAACTCTATGAATAAAAATGGTGCATGTAAAAAATGTTTGTTATGCTTAATTGACTTTCACTACTCTATCATTTTGAACTTGACAGCTCGCACGCCGCAAATTTATATTATCGTTTTACAGTGTTTATCGATACAATTTTTTTTTATTTAATCAGTAGTGCACAGTTCATTTGGTTAGAGCTTTTATCCAATTTTCAGTGTGTTCACTAAGTTTTTTGAGAAGTATTTGCTCAAAAATAATTAACAAGAAGTGTGGAAGTTGGTTCACCGCAATCACGCCCTATATTAAAATTCTGATTCTTCAAAATGCCACCAATTGGATGTACCAACCTAGGTCGCAGAACTCGCAATACTGCAAGTCAAAGATATACAGGGTGACTTTGAAGTTTAGTCATTAATTTTCAGATAATGATTGTAGAAGGAAGATAAACCAAAATATGTGTGTAAAAATAAAAAAAAAATTAAAAAAAAATTTTACCTTGTTTTATAAAGTATCCTCCCGACAAGTATTTCAGTGCGGACCTGTATTTGATCGTGAGGTCTTGGAGCACCGGCATGCCGTCCATATGTGAGGTCTTAAGTCACCTGATTCACGAACCCGTTGTACTACATTAACAAAGGCATGAGGGGTTGGTTGCACTCGATTGGGAAACCGATCCGCATAAACATGTGCCATTTTTTATTTCGTTTGAGCCACGCAACAGACACCACTATTCACTACCGACTGACACTGACTGTATACAACTGAATGAAATAATTGTAAAAACATCGTTCCAAATTCTTTCGCTTTTTTGTTTCCGATGCGATGAACCGATAAGGCGGATTATATCCGTTGTGGCCAAACACGAGCACATAATATTATTATTGAGACAGGGCGGTACTCAAACTTCCAAAGGGCTATAACTTTGTTACTTTAATTTTACCAGAAAAATGGTAAAGGAAAAAACATTTCTTTTGATCAAATCTACTCACTGTTAAAATAAATGACTCAACTTCGAAGTCACCCTGTATACGAAGAAGTTAAACTGACGAGCAACGAGAAGCGAGAGATGAAGTTGAAAAGGATCTAAGGACTGAAATTCAACAATGTAGAAGTGTCGCATGTAATCACAATCGAGCTGCATTCAGTTATGACGTGACAATCGATTCCAATTCACAACAAATCGTTGCTATTGGACCAATGACTGTTGTGTGTCCACATTGCAAGGCTTTCAAGTTTAAAAAGGAAGCCCTTGGATTATGTTGCACCAGTGGAAAAGTCAAATTGACTCCATTGGTACCACCAGCAGAACCACCACGTTCGTTGGTTTCCGAAAATGGGCCAGATTCTATACATTTTTTGACTCATATCCAGCAATACAATAATTGCTTTCAACTGACGCAGAAAAGTCGTTCGATAATTTTATGCCTATTTTCAAGATGGGGGAATGGCAGTGCTGCCAACGTATTTTGGTAGCCACATGGTGGTACAAGCACTTTGCTATATAGTTCCATACATTCCATATATCTACCCTTTCATTATTCATCCCAGTCTATAGCTAAGACAGGACAACGTCTGGAGGGTCAGCTAGTATTGAATTGAAAACAAGTTTGTGTCAAGGCTGAATAAATTAAAAAGTTTCCCCGTGCAAAATGTACCTAATCTCTTTCCGAAAGTCCTCAACCTGAAGAAAAACCCATCTGGTCTCCCGTCAAAGTCTTCTCTGGTCAATACTTCTTTGATTGCCTGTGGTCCAGAAGCTGCTACCACAAGGTTTCTTCCCAATTTCATTCCCACCACATCGCCATATTTCTTGCTCAGATATGTCCAGACCAGATGGTGATAACCAACTTTCTTGTGCATGGTCCTGTATAGGAGATAGTTACCTACGATTGGAAGAAATGACGGTCCTGAAAAAAAAAACGGAATTATCTGGATTTGCCTGGTGTTATCAAACGAACCAAATTTCACACTCATGATTTTATCTCTGAACTGATTTTAATCTTCTGGCATATAGAAAATGGTAATCTTAACCACTTAGCCAAGAAAATCAGACGCGAATTGAGATTAACTAATTTTAAAGTTATGACTTTCTTCGAAAATGGTTGGCTACATTAGAAAATGATTGTGCACTTACTTATCTGTTAATATTTCTAAAATATTTATCATACATGGACATTGCCAAATCTTAGTTATTAAAAAAAACAAACATCAGTCATTCGTTTCGTTTACTGGATTTGTTAAAAAATCTTTGCTTTTTTTCTAGTTTTATTTGGAATGGAATTTTTTCTTATGACATTTTGCGCAATCGAACACAATTATTGGTTCTGCATTTATTTATAGTCACTCATATTTGTCTGATAATGAAACGACATGTATTTAAAATCCTTTAATATAGCGAACGTGACTAAAAACATGAAAACCGTCGGATGAGTTTCACATAGTTCATAAACCAATAATAGTATTTGGTAGAAGTATTTAATAGTACATAATTCCAATATAGCGTCCATATGGAAAAACAAGGTTGGTGATGTCGAAAGAAGAAACCTCGAATTGAAAATTTGAAGACGCCATCTTATAGAGGAGAAAAAGTGGCAATGCAAATATGGGATTTATTTTGAAATCGCATCTCCAATGAAATCAGGATAAAATAAAAATTATTTTGTGATTCTACTTGATCTGGTATACGAAAAAAATTCTACTATCGACTATCTGATAATTTAAGGTCTACCTAGTAAATACTGTTTTTTTTAAGTAACCGAGGCTTAGCAATGTCAATGTATGATGTTATATATTTTTGGAATCACAATTAAAAACTCTATTCATCTGCGCAAAAATACAATATGGCGTCCATGAGAAAAAATAATGTTATTGCTGAAGGAAAATAGACGAAACTTCATATCCGATTATGCCATCTTGTAGAGGAGAAAAAGTGGCAATGGTAATGTGCCATTTATTTCTGAATCCCACCACGAATAGTTAGGGAGAAACTGAAACGGTTTTTCGAAATACTGTTTTTCCGTCATTCTCCGGAATGTTAAAAGTTTCTAAGCGGCATTTTTTTAGTTACCTAAATATGTCATTTTGCTCCCGTTTAAGCGATCTTGTATCTCTTACCGTTTCCCAGATCCCAATAGTGAGGGTCGAATATAAAACAACCAGTATAAGTTTTTAAAATTCTATTTTTTTAACTTAACTTTTTAAAATATGAATTTTGACAGATATAAAAAACAGAAGTTTTTTTTATCTATCTAAATTAAACGGATCAAAATACTTTAATAGAAATTAAAGTATTTTTGGACTACGTCCTACGCTTATTGAAACAGAAAAATGGTTAAAACCAAAATGTCGGAATTCACTCAACAACTGGACACCAATAATTTTTTTAGGTGCGCTCAAAACTGTGGGATTTCGATTAATATACAAAAAAAAATAGAGCCAAGTTGGTTGACTCTGGGCCTCCCACTCAACGCTATTCATAAAGGATTTTGAATGGCTCTATGTTCTCTATGAGAAAAATGTAAGATGCGAATATGTAGAACAAGTAAAATTAAACGGATCAAGTGAGACAAACAGGCGCATACAGTTAGTCCATAGCATTTCTCCCTGCTCTACCAACAGTACCGACCACCTTGCAACGTTGCTATGACTAACCTCGCCATCCACCGACAGTCAGATCCCGACACAGGTATCTGCATTCGTTTCGTTGCATACGATGCGTGTGTTGAGTAATTGATGGTATGCCAAATATGTCTAATAGGAGTGTAGAGCTACTGGGGTTGGACGCGCTTAGATATGCGAACGCCAAAAAGTTTACCTCTCGCAAAATCTGAAACCCCCAATCTCTAACTTTAGCCTCTGCATTTTTTTGTGAAAATGTTCGGATGATTTTTTTTCGTTTTTTGTTTATAGCTCCACCGCCACTGGATAGATTTAAAAAACTACAAATATTTTTCGTCTCTGGCAAAAAATAAAATTTAATCAAAATCCGGCCGGTACTTACAAAGCTTTAGCGGGATTAAGAATTAGCGGACAGACCGACAGGCCGACCGACAGATAGATATATGGACAGACTGACTATTTCATAAATATGCTTCTAAAAATAAAAAAAATATTTGTCAAAATTTTTCCAACGTTTCGGATTTTGCGTTTTTTAGTGATCTATCGTAAAGCAGAATCAGAATCAGAATGATATTTTCCTAGTTACTGTGGCATTAAGGGTAAACTAATTTTGATTAGTACTCCATCGCCTCGGGGACGACTTTCAAAAATTGTGAAGCGCCGAAGATCAAATTGAAAATCAAAACTAATCTAATAGTTGAGAATTAATGCCTGCAAACGATAACGTTATATGTGAAAATCTGTAGTTTTATTTGAAGAAAATTATAACGTTTTTTTGCTTCCCAAAATTGATAATATTCACAATAATGTACTCAAACCTAAATCAGTATTCAAACAAAAAGCGGCACTTGAACTCTTAGCTGAAAACATAATTAGATATCAATTTGTAGTGATTTTGAAGATCTTCGTTTCCTTCGATATGTTTTCTCGGAATATGTCATTATTTTAGACAATAAAAAAACTCGTCGCGATGTATATGGACATTGTACGAAAAATGCAGACGGCACCGAGATCCTTCAACAATTGCCCTTTAACATGACAACGAGGGCAAAAAGGACTAAAACAGAGTACAAAACGAAGAACTTGATGTGTGATCGTTGAAAGTTCTAAAATCGTTAGATGCGAAGGAAGGCGTAACTTCAGTGAATACATAAAAATATAAGGTCCGAAAAAAAATTCTAATCAAGGGTTCACAATATTAACAAGCAATTCTGGAGTCTGGAACAGAAACGTCAATCAAAAGAGGCCAGATAAGATAATTCAAAACTAAATTAATTTGTTGCTGAAAATATATAAAATTTGCGACCTCAGAAGTTTTGGATACGAAAATAATCTTTTTTAAGCCCAAACATTTTCGAAGCCAATTCATTCACCGCGATTTTCTAATATGTATTTTATTTTCATCAAATCAATTCGCTTAGCTTTGAATCCTTTGATTGTTCATTTCGAAGTTTTTGGTTTCCGAAATCTGGTCACCGGAAATACAGCATAAAATATACATCTTACCAGGAGCATAGTTTTTGGGCTTCTTCATGTCAATAAGGAGAAGAACAATTACAAAACTGGTCGCGATATATATCAACAAGAAAATCATCGTGGTCACTGTAAAATGCAGACGGCACCGAGATTCTTCAAGAACTGCCCTTTCCACTTGCGCAGCGACGCTATTTAACGTTTTACTGGTTGGTACAACCGAATCGGCCTGTTGTTTAAAAAACTGAAAAGATGAGCTCCCGTTCCTGACCCTGCGACCCTGCTACCAGAATAGGTAAATGTTTTTCCTATTGGATGTCAGACAGAATAAGTTGATTGTTTATTATTATCTTTCCGCTTCTTAGTCAGAATTTGTGGCCTCGATATTTTTTTTAACTTTCCGTACTCCAGTAACCAGAATTTACTGTCGTAACCGTATGATCCGAAGATGCCAATGGTACTTCAGTGTTTAAGGCTTACTCTACTGCATATTCTTGCGGTTTAGAGTACCCAACCTAGTAGTTGTACTAATAGTTAACTAGTCCACCTTGTTTTAGGAAATTGTAATAACGCGTATTACAACGGAATTATATTCTTGAGAGTATAATATGAAAATGTCCCTCATCGAAATATACGAAAAATGTTGCTGGGTAACTTTTTATTAAACAACGTGGAAAAATCACTTTCACGTTTTTATTTTTTTTACACCGAAGCAGCCGAGCAGCTGCTATGACTAGCTTGAAGAAACTTTGTTAATCGGATGTTTGAACTGCCTAGGGTTAGTAGAACTGGGAAAAACCCTCCCAAATAGATTGTTCTACAATCACGATACCCTAGGGATAGAGGAGCGGTCGTATCGGCCAGTTCTGGATGTATGAAGTTCAACACGGTTAAGATGGGATGCCGAAGTCAGGCGGGTCTGTCTGGCAGACAGATCGCGCGGCAGCATCATGGAAAAAAGCTCTGAAGAGGAAAGCTCCTTGACATAGAGGTACAAGGCAGCAAGATCGTCGACCGCCCGTCGGTGAGAGAGGGTCCCGAGACTGTCCGTTAGAGAAGAGTTATCGATCAATCGGACAGCCCTCCTCTGGATAGCACCGCGCATGGATAATGTAGTTGGGGCGGTAGCACCCAAGACATGTGAGCAGTACTCGAGGCCAGATCTTATCTGGGCCTTGTACAGAGTGAGGACGTCATATGGAGAGAAGTACTTCTTAGCTCTAAACAAATAGCCTAGGTTTCTCATAGCAGCCAGCTCTATTGACGAGCTGTGTTCGTAGCAGGTCAAGTCCTCGATGATCTGGACTCAGACTAAACGAAATAAACGGCTCTTTGATAGATCTCGGTCATCCAATCTAAACCGGATGAACGCTCAAATAGTTGTGAATTATCAGAATTATTGATGTAAGTGGTCCAAAACAAATTGTAGGATATGACAACACCTCAAAATGAGGAGTCCACACGACCAACTTGTAACAATTTATTCTTTATGACAAAAAAAAGTTAAATTCACCGATTTCTCATTTAATTTTTACCGAAAAATGCATAACGGATGACGTGGAACAATATCCAAAAGTGAAAGTGCTTAGTTTAACAAAAATAATTAAAAAATGCTTCACGGTTTCAGAAAATTTCTAATTGTTACTAACTTTTTTGAGAAAAAATGTTTTTCTTTCTTATACTAGTCATGTAAAACAGCGTCGCCAAGAGCACATCTATTTTCGCGTTATAAATAATCAGAATAAGTCCGTTGTTTTTCTACAGTGTGATTGAAGTTCGGACCTCTGGAAAGCAGATGAAAAAGATACACTTTGACGGAAACAGTAGCTTTTTTGGACCTTTGGTGGCCAAAACAGCATACTTATATATAAATCACCGTAAATTTATACAATATTTTTGAGGAAAGGTGGCATTTGAAAATTTCAAGATGGCGGTTGGACGCCATTTTTTTGAATGGAATATGAGGACATGTGATCACTCATTTGGAAGCTCCTTATGAGTTCTTTGTAACCTTAGAATGTCTTTCAAAATGGCTGGGCGCCATCTTTTAGCATTTTTTGACATCGAATGCGCTTCCTATGATCACTTTACAACCTTAAAATATAAAATCACTATCAAAATAGCACGCTGTCAAAGTTGAGCGTTTATTTATATTGAATCGCTTATAACTCAACAACTGATCATCTAAGTGTTTAAAAAAATTTTACGGATTTTTACAACTTTGAAATTGATTGTTTCATATTTTATTACATATTCGGATAGAGCCGCCCAGAAGAAGATTAGCATAACATTTTGATGGACGGTTGTCGAGTTATAGGCAAATGTACAAAAACCTCAACTTTGACAGCATGCCAGTTTGCTATTTTGAAAGATGGTGATTTTAAATTATATGGTTATCACACTTTCCATTTAAAAAAATGCGCCCAGTCGCCATATAGAGATTTTGAACAGCCTCTTTCACGCTAAAATATAGTCATGTATCAGTTTCATTACCCCGAATTTGATTTTGTTTGCTTGTAGAAATATGAAGCATTACATTTGAAAAAAAATGTTCAAATCTCTCAGTTTTTTGACAGGATATCCCATATTTTATTGCACCTTTAGATAGACCATACCAATGAAGAAAATTGATATAGTATACAACAGGGTTTCAATAACTAGTAGTCGAGGTACAACGCGCTGAACTTTGACGGCCATTTTTACTGAACGAGCTTCTAAGTGACCCACTCCATTCAAAAATTTTAGAAGATGGAGCTCAATCGCCTTCTTAAAATTTTCCAATTATCCCTACACGTTAAGGTACATATTCATAGATCAATTTCATGACCCCGAAATTTAGCTTGCTAACTTGACCCAATCAAAAAATAAGTGGGGAGGGAGACGTTTTTGTAAAACTTTGTAGGTAAAACGATATTGTGTCTACCAGCACTAGACTATTTTTTATTGGAAACGTTATCATTGAAAAGTAAATCCTTATGGAGCCTTGTCAGATTTGTGTATATTCATTACGTTTTAAAATATAACTAATTGAGGACCTCCACTGTACCATATAATCTCTTGCAAAATCGGTGTGCCTTTAACAACTGGAGTATGTTCCTATTTTGGCGTCAGAAAGCACACCGAGTGCGCATAATCGGCGGGGTTATGATCCTGTATAGGCTTAGAAAATAATCGTTGTCATGAGCAGCTAAACCTGTTGTAAAATGATTCTTGACCACATACACACAAAAAATGTTAATCCTTGGACACTTGTGAAGTTTTAGAAATTTTTGGACCCCGTACATTAATTTCCATCACTCAAGGGTGATCATGCCCACAGCAGACTGATAGCGTTCAGACACTGACCTACAGTGACTGTGACCTTTAGGCTGCCTTGGAATGTAGAAGTAGCATCATATTTATAGCAGACTATTGAAGATCATAAAGATATTTGATTTCTCTGTGTTCTTACCTGTGCTTTGGTTTCAAGTTTTGTCGTTATCAGGACCCATTGCTGCGATGTGAGCATCCAGAGGCCAATGTTTTAGCAGCCGCCGATTTCTGGATCGTATTAGACGCATCATGTGCGTTTGTCTTTGCATCATCACGTGTTTTGTAGCATTCAATTCTGTTTTCGATCTAAACTGAAATTCACAGCCTGTTTGAACTTTTAAAACTGGGCACTCTTGCCCTTATAAAAGCAAGATAAGAACGGTATTTGCATGCTAATATAGTTCTGATACTAATACATTTAGCGATACATTTTTTGACTATAAGTACTTGAGCCTTGAGCGGGACTGTCCGTTTTTTAGCTCTCTTCGTCCGGCACAGGTATTACGTATCTTGAAAAGTGAGATTATGTCGATTTTTTCTGTCATTGTTTTTTGTGACATTATGTAGGTTTTTCTACAAGATGTTAACTTAGCACTACTTGTGAATCGTTTTGTAGTTGTATGTGTTGCCTAGACGTCTTGATCCTTCAGTTACCAATTTATCAAATTAATGAATTATACACCTAAACATTCCTAATGAATCACTCTGTCCACTGGTGCTTTCAACTGTACTATGTTTTAGTGGTTCTATGTTACTTTGCCATTGCTTTATGTTGGTAAAAGACCTATTAGCCCTTTTTCATAGATTCACCTACGATTTTTTGTCTGTCCTCATATTTTTTATTATCTCATACTTTGTCAGCAACAATCAGATGGGCTAAAGTGATTTATCGCCAAAAGTTTAAAAGGCTCATGCTAGGTCCCTATTACTTATTTACTTATCTATAATATCCACTTTTAGGGCCGTATCGTCAGTTATTCCTAGAATTGTGGGACGCCTTTTTGGCCTCCTTGATTGTCACAGTCTTTTCTCTCCTTCAAAAAATTTTAGATTGCACCTGTTTCGTGTCAGCGTCAGCATACATAATTTGATCCAAATAGATATTTGTGACATAACCTCAAAATAGAGCGCTGACACGGAAAAGTAGAAAACTATGAAAATCAAGGAGGCCATAAAGGCCCTTAGGCCCGTATCGTCAGTCGTTCCTACAATTGTAAGGGGGCGTTTATGGCCTCCTTGATTGTCATACTCCTTTCTCTCCTTCAAAAATTTCTAGATTGCATCCGTCCCGTGTCAGCGTCAGCGCCCTCCTATTGTGAAGATATGTTTTCTTTTTAAATTGCAGGAAATGTCAGGCTGATAAAACATGATATAACTTAAAAGCAAGCGCAATTTGATGCAAATAGATATCTGTGACCTCAAAATAGAGCGATGACACGGAAAAGTAGAAAAGTATGACAATCAAGGAGGCCATAAACGCGCCCTACAATTGTAGGGACGACCGACGATACGGGCCTTAGTGCTACACTGCAATATACTCTGAGCTACACTGGCGAGCCCTGATGAAGAGGCGGATATTGTTCCATAAACTGCGTTACACATATTATATATACAGGGTGACTTTGAAGTTGAGTCATTAATTTTCAGATAATGATTGTAGAAGGAAGATAAACCAAAATATGTGTGTAAAAATAAAAAAAAATAAAAAAAAAAATTTACCTTGTTTTATAAAGTATCCTCCCGACAAGTATTTCAGTGCGGACCTGTATTTGATCGTGAGGTCCCCTGTGAGGTCTGAAGTCACCTGATTCACGAGCCCGTTGTACTACTATTAACAAAGGCACGAGGGGTTGGTTGCACTCGATTGGGAAACCGATCCGCATAAACATGTGCCATTTTTTATTCCGTTTGAGCCACGCAACAGATACTATTCACACGCGACTGACAGTGATTGTATGTATAACTGAACTGAATAAAGTAAACATCGTTCCAAATTCTTTCGCTTTTTTGTTTCCGATGCGATGAACCGATAAGGTGGATTATATCCGTTGTTGCCAAACACCAGCACATGATGTTATTGAGACAGGGCGGTACTCAAACTTCCAAAGGGCTATAACTTTGTTACTTTAATTTTACCAGA